CAGCGACATAGCCATTACGCTAACTGCTGGTTCCCAGGAGAGAAACTTTTTATTAGCATAATTATTGTTTATGATATGAATATGCAAAAGACTATAGAATATCTTATCTTTATAAAGTTTAGTTTTAGTTTAAATGGAATTACTTCTACCTTCAATTTATATATAATAATGATCAATGCCAGTTTGGAAATTACAGCTGATAATATTGATAACTGTTCCTCTTTTTGTTTTATTAATTAATTTATTTATTTTGAGAGGTTTTTGCTATAGGGCACGTGTGCTCACCAGAAAGAGAGACAGAAAGCGAGAAATCACCCCCCCAGGGGGGATGGCCATGCTGTAATCCCTTCTCCTCCAGTCTCTTCTTGGGATCTTGGGCACACATTCACATGTGCCCAGTGTGAGTTTAAGCCACAGGGTGCACGATTCGAACTGCAGTCAACTACATGGGAGTCCAAGTGACATAGCCATTACGTCATCTGTTGTTCTAGATAACTGTTCCTCTTATACCAGAGTGCTTATTTATATGTCTAGCAAAACAGTGCTTCTCTTTATAGTATGTATTGAACACTTGGCAATTGAACTGACCTAAGTATGAAAGTGTCATTATTTTCGGAAAAAAACTGTTATCTGTTTATCTACATAGAGCTAAGTATTTTGAATTTTTATTTTAATATTTCTGGGTCATATCAGAATTTTCCCCTTAAAAATTTTTTCCATTACTAACCTAAAGAGATATCATTATTATATTGGGTCATCGGGAAAGTCATGATGCACTTTTGCATATAAAAATATGCCATTACTTTCCTGACAACCTGATATATAAAATTATAACTGTGTCCTTTTAATATGTATTTTCATTTTTTTGTATATTCTAAATATAGGCCTAATTCCACCCCCTGATAACTCTATCGTTTCTGCTTTCATATACAGAATATGGTTTTTTTCTGATCAGAGACAGATGATGCCATCAGCACGCAAAAGGCAACATAGATCCTGGAAATGTCACAAATGCTGGTACACACATGGTGCCTCCTTGGTGGTATCAGATGTGTAGCTCTAGCCAAGAGCATCCATGTAAATAATTGAAATGTAGAAGGCAGGTAGGTGGGACACCAGATGCCAGCTTCTAAAAACATAATGGAATGAAAGTACATGAGGCAGTTGTCCTATGAATTAAGAAATATAATTCAACTTGGATATGGCAGAACAGGGTGACCTGGTACAACTCTTGGCCAAGCAGCAATTGGTAAATAACAGAGAAACATCTTTTATCTGCTGCAGGCTTGTTTTTCTTCTTAGTGTCCTTATCTAAATCTTACCCATTCTTCAAATCCCAATTTAATTACTACCTTTTCCATGAAGATTTCTTTAATAGTTAATAAGGGTAATGATGAAGAAATGATAATTACTTTACATATGTTCTTATATCACCCTTGCAACAACACTTTGATGAAATGGATCCTCAGAAATATTAATAAACTTGACAAGCCATTTGTCCAAACTAGTATTCATGAGTTTAGGGCTCATGCTGAATAAACTCCTATGGAAGAGCTAGGCGAAGGTTTCTAGAAAGTTGCTGGTTAGGTGACTATGAAGTTTGAGGGATGAAGTGGGAGTAGATATATAAAGTTTTGGGTATCTGTAGCCATTAATGATGATAGTTGAAGACAAAAACTGATGGGACCACAGAAAAAAGAGTGTCTGGAATGGGCAAGAGTACCTGAGAGCCGAAATATCTAAGGATAAAGCTGAGGAAAATATCAGTCTATTTATTTATTTAAATTTTGCTTAGAGGACACATGCACTTATCAGAAAGAGACAGAGAGAGAGAGAGAGAGAGAAATAAAAACTGAGAAAGCATCCCCATGGGGTCAATGCCATAATCCCTTCTCCTCAATTTCTCTTCTTTTCAGGATTTTGAGCATGCATACACACACACCCAGCTTTTTCAGTCATCTATGTGGGATCCAGCTGCCTTAACCACAGGCTGACCTGACATTCATCTTTAAAGAGTGAATGAAAGCATAGCAGTTGTGAAAGGAAACTAAGAACAGCCAGAGGAGCAGGAGAAAAGAGTTTGGTGTCACAGAAATAAATGGAATACTGAATTTCAAAAAAGAGTGAGTAATGGGGCCAGCAGGTGGTATGGTGGTTAAGGTTCTGGATTTCCACATAGTGGGAAATGGTTTGAGTCCCAGGCCTAGTGGCTTGACAATCACACTGGGTACTTGTCCATGCATGCCTAAAATCCCAAGAGGAGAATAGAAGAGAAGGGATTATGGTTTGGCCATCTCACTTGGTGGGTGATTTCTCACTTTCCCTCTCTGTCTGTCTCTGTCCAGCAAGCACACATACCCTATTGCAAAAACCTAAAAATAAAAGTAAAAATAAAAAAAGAGTGGTTAAAAGAGTTAAATGAGGAGCCACACTGTGGCACAGCAGTAAAATGCTATACTCACTATACTCCAGGAGGCTGACCCATATGGGAGAGTTCCTGGTTTGTGTCTGGAGACCTTCCTGAGTATACAGGATACATGCATGCCCATGGCTGAAGCTGAGGGTGAACTGTACTGTTAGAACTGTGTTGAGGATATTATCTCTCAGTGTCTATCTCTGCCTGTCTCAGTCATGGAAGAAATAAATAGACTTTGCCAAAAAAACTGACAAAGGTGGCCCAGCCAGTGGTGGGGTGGTTAAGGCATCCAGATCCCACATGACTGACTTGAATGATTCAAGTCCCAGACCTGACAGCTTGAAAATATGCCAGGTGTGTGGGCATGCTTGTCCTAAATCCTAAATCCCAAGAACAGAATGGAGAGAGGGATTGTGGTATGGTCATTCCCTAATGAGGGTTATTTCTCACTTTTCCCCTTTATCTGTCCCTGGTGAGTACTTGCACCCTATAGCAAAACACACAGAAGAAAAACAAAGGCTATAAAAAGGTCAAGTTAGAAGAAACTTGGTATTGGGTAGGGAGGGTAGGAAGCACTGATGGTGCCCTTAGTTTCTGTAGTTTAATAGGTGGAAATTAAGACATAAGATATGGAGAGAACATTATGCAGGAATGGAAGAAATGTGAAGATGCTCATACCTTCATGGGAAATGATCCAGTAGAGAGGAAGAGACCCAAACAAAGAGTGAATAGGTAATAAATGGATCAAACTCCCTGAGGAGATAAAGAGAGGCTGGGGGTCCAAATCACGGATGAATGATTTAGTTTTAAATTGGGAACAGAGGGACCAGCAGTTAACATAATGGCTATGTCACTGGACTCCCATGTAGCTGACTGCAGTTCAAGTCCCGGACCCGGCGGCTTGAACTCAAGCCAGGCGTGTGCGCATGTGTGCCCAAGATTCCGAGAGGAGACTGGAGGAGGAGAGATTGTGGCGTGGCCATCCCCCCCTGGGTGGTGATTTCTCTCTTTCTGTCTCTCTTTCTTTTGGGTGAGCGTGCGCACCCTATAGCAAAAAACTCTCAAAAATAAATAAATAAATAATGAACAGAAAATTCTTCCTGTGAGAATGAGTGACATGGAATCTATGTAGGAGGCTTGAAGACAATATGGCAACTGAGAGGTATAAGAGAAGGAACTACACAAACAGCAGTCACCTTTGTCCCCACTCCATAATGTAAAACCTCTCCACATGACTTATGGTATCTTCCAGAAGTCCTTGGAAACATTCGACATTCAACATCTTCACTAGGATTCATTTCTCCCACACATGTTCACACATACTATTTCATTATTCATCAGAGCACTCTAGTCCAAAATGTGGTGTTCTGAAATGACACTTCTACCTTTTCACTGAAACAGAGCATGCATCCTCTTAGGGGCCTCCTGTATTTAATAATTACCCTGTTCAGCCTCCTGAAATGGGCACCCTGCAGTCTGATTCTCCTCCTTGTATTCCTCCCTATTGCCACCCCCCCCTCCGGCCCAGTAAGAAGTTCTCTGATGTCCTCTAACACACTCACCTCCCTTTCAGAACAGGAGTGTGCCCTGCCTGCCCCCATCCTAGCAGAAATTTTCTGAAATCCACTTAAGTCAAATAAACCCTCCCTTTCAGATAATTATGCCAGGCCCCACCCATCCCCTCCAGGCAGACATCCCCTGAGGTCCATAACTCCTAACTCTTAACTCACCCTATCACACAAGGAGTATGTCCCTCCCCATGGCCAGATGTACTCTAAGGTCCTCTAACTTATACTCACCCCTCCCATCACTCAATCAGACAATTGCCCCTCCCCTCACCTGTTCTCTGAGGTCCTCTCACACCCTTTCATACCAAGGGTGTGCCCCCCTCCCTCTGTGACCAGAAGTTTTCTGAGTTCCTCTGACACACTCATCATGCCTTTCAGACCAGGAGTGTGCCCTTCTCTGTCAACCTCTAACTCACACTCATCATCCCTTTCAGGCCAGGAGTGTGCCCCTCCCCGCAAGGCTGGAAGTTCTCTTATGTTCTCTAACTCGCACTCCTTTTCAGACTGGGAGTTTGTGTAGAGTGATTTCATGTGTGGATGCATTCACATGGGTATAATCCTACACGCACTCATGATACAATGTGGTTAAAAGTCTCATTGCACACTCTGGGGGTTGTGTGCACGTAAGTGTCTTCAAAAGACCTCCCCGTATTGTCCCACTGCAATTCCCAGCACTGCCTCTCTACCTGTTTACCCTCTAGGGGCCGCTGTGCCATGCCTGGCTCTTCCCAGCAGTCCTTGCGGTATGACTCAGCTTTTCTTTGCGCCGCGCGCCTTGCTCTCACCACTCGGCGGGAAGCTGGCGTGGTGAGCGGTTCGTCTTTGTTCTTTGTGAAGAGAACCACAGGTTGGAGGGATAGGAGGCCCGGGAAGCAGCCAGGACTGGGCTGGGACTGAAGTAGGACTGAGCCAGGAGTTGAGGGGCAGTTCCTTTAGTTGTTGCAAACTATATTTGCGGCGGCTGCTGCGTAACTGACTGACTGGTGAGGGGATTGTTTGACTAGGCCGCAGCAACCATGGCCTTGGAGTTTGGGGACCACTCTAGTGGGTTCCACTACAATGAAGTGATCAGGTTCATCAACAATGAAGTCCTCATGAATGGTGGTGGCCCCGAATTCTATGTAGCCTTCCGCTCGCGGCCCTGGAATGAGGTAGAGGAACGGCTGCAGGCCATCGTGTCAGACCCACAGGTGCCGCGTGCAGTAAAGAGGGTCTGCGCCTGGAGCGCCCTCGCCTTGAGCGTGCGAGTGGTCGCAAGGCTGCAGGAGCAGCAGTTTCGCCGTGTGAGATGGCTGCAGGAGCAAGTGGAGGAACGAGAAGCAGCTACTTGGGCTGTGGCCTCTGAGCTGCAGCGGCTGCGTGATGAACGTGAGGAGATGGCTGCTCAGCTGCGCTTCACGCGGGCTGCCCTGCAGCTGGCAATTGAAGAGCGTGAAGTGCTGCGTGGGAGGTTGTTTCAGGCTGAGAAACAGGTCCAGGCCTACCTGGTGCCTCAGGAGGTTATGCCTGTTTCCGGAGCTGGGCAGTGTGAGGCTGCAGCATGGCCCCTGAATGAAAAGGAGCAGAGAGAGGCAGCGGCCCCAGGGGCGTGGGGCATGCCATATTCTGAGGCCCAAATGGGAACCTCAGCAGCTGTGATTTATATGCCAGGGCCCCAGAATACCTGGGTCCAGACGATGCAGCCGGCTATGCCAATGTCGGTGCCACAGCCATTCCCATTCCAAGCACCATTTCCAGCAAGCTTCCCATACGCAGCACCTCCAGTTGTCATGGAGTCAGAAGCTGCCGCAGCAGCAGCAGCAGCAGCTGCAGCACCCCAGACGCCTTCTGCAGAGATGTATCCACCTGACCTGTGTGCTGATGTGAAGTCCCAGGAGGAGATTGCCCCTTTGTGGGACCAGAGGTACCACAGCCAGGTTAAATATCCTGAGAACCTTCAGTGGGGATATACCCTGGGGGACAGCGGAAACCACAGCCAGGAGGGAGGTCCTGAGTATTCCCAGGGAATGACCTCCCTGGGGGACAGCAGGAGCCACAATCAGGAAGAAAATCTAGAAATGTCCTCAGGTACAGTCCCCCTAGGGAATAGCAGCAGCCAGAAAGAAGATTCAGTGATGCCCCAGGGGGCAGCCCCCATGGGTGGTGGCAAGAGCCATATCCAGGAGAAAGGTCTGGAGGAGCCCCAGGGGATGACCCCCCTGGGTGGTGGCAAGAACCATAGTCAGGAGGAAGGCCTAGAGAAGTTCCAGGGGTTGAACCCCCTTGGTGGTGGCAAGAGCCGTGGCCAGGAAGAAGGTCTAGAGAAACTCCAAGGGTTGGCTCCCCTGGATGGTGGCAAAAGCCATGACCAGGAGGAAGGTCTAGCGAAACCCCAGGAATCAGCTCCCCTGGGAGTCAGCAAGCGTCTTAGCCAGGAGGAAGGTTTAGTTAAGTCCCAGGAATTGGCACCTCTGGGTGTCATCAAGAACTGTAGCCAGGAGGAAGGTCTGGAGAAGCCCCAGGAGTTGGCACCCCTGGGTGTCAGCAAGAGCCATAGCCAGGAGGAAGGTCTAGAGAGGCCCCAGGGGTTATCTCCCCTGGGTGTCAGCAAAAGACATAGCCAGGGGGAAGAGCTAGAGATGCCCCAGGCAACTGCCCTGGGGGATAACAGGAGCCATGGTGTGAAAAAAAGCACAAAGAAGCAGCAGCCTCAGGGGCAGAAGGCCAAGCAGCCTAAAGGGAAAAAAGCCTCAGATTTCCAGCAATGGGAGAGGTCTGTCCCAGGCTGCAGTACCATGAATTGGAGCTGCCCATGGTGTAAAGCGAAGAATTATTCATGGCGCACAGCTTGCTACAAATGTAAGAAAGTCTGCACGCCAGTTGAGTGCGGAGGCGCTGATCCAGGACAAACTTACTGATTCCCGGAAGGTAAGTAAGATGGGAACACTCCAAAGAGAAGACAATTTCCTAAGGTCAAAAAATAACTTATTTACTTCACAGAAAATTTGAAATGAAAATTATCATAGAAAAGGTAAAATGATTTATTATTCCATTACCTCACTTAACCACTTTTCATCAATGTAGGTGCACATAGACAAATGCATACGTATTTATATTCTTATTTTATCCATTTTTCTGAGCAAAGAGGAATTACTTTTGTGTATTACACTCTCTAAATATTGGATTTTTCCTAAATGCTTTTAAGTTTTGCAGGTGCTAGATTCTGAATGGCTGATACTGATTGCTTGACATCCTGGAGAAACTGAATGCATGAAGCTTTTTACCCTCTCCCTTCTGTCCCCTTCTTTTTTTGTTTTTATTATTTAGATGTGTTTGCCTTAGGGTGCACGTGATTGCCAGGAAAGAGATAGACAGACACAGTGAGAAGGAAAGTGAAAAATTGGGAATGTAAAGATCGGGAATGGACAGGGGAGTGGACAGGATCCCTTCTCCTCCTGCAGTCTTGGGCACACATGCACACATGCCCAGTGTGATTTTCAAGCCACTTGGCCCAAGACTCAAACTGCAGTCAGCCATGTGAGAGTCCAGTGACATAACTGCTACACTATCTGCTCTTTCTTTCTTAACATGGTTCCCCTTAACATGCTATGTAGGATTATTTAGCTGGGAGCAACCACGTGATTATAGAATTATAAGCTATGTTGAATTTTGGAATGTTCTAAAAATTGTTCCTTTGGAAGCTATCATAGTGTTCATGTTTGCTTTTTAAAAATTTTTTAAAAATATATTTTATAGATGAGATCCTGTTTTTGTGTCAGCTCTACTGAACCTGCTTGTTGCTGAAGAAACTGGACCTGTCCCATTAGAAGATTCCCCAGGAGACGAAAGAAAGAACACCTCCATTCTGATGGACTCATACTCAAACTTGAGGATAATTCATATAATTCTAATTTTAGGTGTGACAATGGCAACATTTTTGTTTGTTTGTTTAAAGAATTCTTACCTAGAAAGATATCCTGAAATATTTAGGGCTAAAATGATAGATGCCTGCAATTTATTGCAAAACAATCCGTTTGTGGGTTTTTGAGAGGTATATAGATCTGTGTTGTCCCATGTGGTTTCTTTCCATTAGCCACATAAGAACCCTGTTGACTAGAGCCAACAAGAATGAGAGAAAGTTAGGGAAGAAGAGGTGGCTTGGCACTCATTAGGAGGGAAAAGAGAGAATAAAATAGTTTTGTTAGGATTTAATTTCTCCATTGGGACAAGGAATTAATTTGTAAGAGTTCAGGGGCTTGCAATGTTAAAGTGTATAGATGATAGTAAGTTTGATGTATTTCAATTAATTCATTAAATAATTGTTGATTGCTAGTATTTTTAGAAGCTAGAACTGTATGGTATTATCTGGTGCCCACATTGTAACCCTTTTTGTTGAGCTTGGTTAGATGAGAGGAGAGATATCAATTTGGGGTACAGCTTAGATTAGATGTGTCTCCTCTTCCTTGTATGTACTACAGCCTTATGTAAAACCAACTGAGATAACATACGGATCCATATTTGTAGTTCTGGGGACAATGTGAAAGAGACTGTAGTGAAGACCTTGAGTCACCAAGCTCATCTCACTGGTTCCAGATGAGACAAATGAGCAGTGGTAAAGATCAGGAGAGTGGCTTCATGAAAGTACAGACAGGACTTTTTAGATCCCCTGCCGGTTTCCTTCCTTGAGAGGGACGGCTATTTTCCTGGTTGCCCACCAGCCTGCCAGAAAAAACATTGGTTGACTTCAAGAAAGGTAGTACTTAGGAGCGTGCTGGCTAGACCTTCCAGCCCTCAGCCTTGAGCTGCCCCCATCCCAAGTCCCTCTCTAGTCAACAGTGGATAAAGAACAAAATGAATTCCAGGGACCAACAAGAGGGCAACTGGGTTATGGATGGTGTTTTTCATGGGAGGACTAACTGGGTTAAAAATGGAGCTGAACTTATTTTATAATGCCACTGGACCCCTTCTCTTCCACTTGAGGTGTTCTCTGCGAGCTCTTTGGTTCCCCAGTGCAGCTGCTGCAAGGCAAGGATGAAGCCAGGATAGAGCCCAGGGATGGTATGTTAGATCAGTCTCCAGTACAAACAAAAGGTGTCCTTGAGTTTCCCCATGAGACCCCAACCAGCTCACCAAGATCAACCTTTGTTTGGCACTTTCTAATTTTAACCAGTAATAAACAGTGTGCACTTGCCTACTGTGTCTTCCGTGTAGTGTTTATCTCAGCACAGGCTTACTCAGTGGTGGCAGTTTATATATGCATCTTTCCTCCATCCCTTTGTGATGAAGAAAAGTTCAATCTCATTCACTATTGATGGGTCCCTCCTCTTCTGACATGTTACCCAAGAATTAGGGATGGGGTTTATATAGGACTTTCAGTCCTCTCTGATTGCCCCTTTTAAATCCAAGTCTACATAGTACCACAAACATGGGCCTCTCTGCTGCTCCAAGGTCAGTCAGGGGTGGGAATATCCATGATAGCCAAAACCTATGATGCCTACAGTTCACCTTCCCTGCTTTTACATACAGGCCTTTACCTCTGGGGATCTGCCTTTTCCCTAGGGTTCTGTCAGGGTAAGGTGTGCTTACCTATCATGATCAGAAATGACCTTTCTTTGTTTCTATGCCCTCCATCATTCTGTCAGTATACTTCTTTCTAGATGGTCAAGATTATAGAAAACCGAAAGCAAGCTTCCCCTGAGATAAAAGCAGAGAGGGTAGTAGCAAAGATCTTGAAACCTTAAAATGAGTATGGTGAGATAAGGGAGTGAACAACAAGGATGATCCTTTCATCGCATAAACATACCATAAATTTCTCTTTTCTCAGGTAATTGGGTGGGAGCATGGTTTTTGCTGCGTGTAGCCATAGTAAGGGTGGGGCTGGTACTGCTTCCTTGCAGGCACTTAAAAAGGTGGTGTTGATAGAGGAGAGATGTGGGTATTTCTCTGAGCAACAGGGTGCAGAGAAGGCAGGAAGATGCCTATTAAAACTTTCGAGAGCTTCAAATTCTTTGGTGAGAAAGTGGAGGACGATAGCAATATTCTCATTTATCTCATCACTCATTGCTTTACTTCGTACTCTTGTTTATAGCAGCAGCATTGCCTTTAAACTCCCATTTCCACCTTTGTAAAAGAATCTCCCAAGGAGAGAGGGAGTAAGAGAAAGTGAGTAAGCACCCCCAAGGGGTATAGCCATACCCACCGCAATCCCTTCTTAATTTCTCCCTCAAATTGGAATTTTGGGCACACACGCAGACACGCCCCAAGTATTTCTCAAGCCAGAATCCGAGGCTCCAACTGTGCAGTTGGTCATCTGACATGTGGTATCCAGCAGCCTTAACCAATGAGCCATGGGCTGCCCCCCACCCCGCCTATTTTCACCCTTAATAAGCAATTTTGCAATATACCGCTACCCTACTAGCAGAATCAGAATAGAAAAAAGCACTTGAGGACCTAAACCTTGGTGCAGCAGTAAAACTCCATGGACACTGTGAGGCCAGCACACATGGGGAATTTGCCATTTTGTGTCTGGGGACCTTCCTGAGTATGTGAGGCATGCATGTACCAGTGATCTGGGCTGGTTAAACCTAGTGGTGAATCATGATGTTGGGAACCTTTAATGGGTGCTGCATCTATGTGTCTCTCTCTCTCTCATTCATGGAATTAATACATAAGCTTTAAAAAATAAACCAGTTGGGTACCTGCAGCTATGCAGACATGCTAGCTGTAGAAAGTCTTCTCTAGTATGCAATAGGAGCCCACAGGATCAGTGGCATAAGAGGCAAGAACAAAGGGCTCAGTGTGCCTCAAGATCCTTTACAGATGACAGAAATATGCCTGGCAAAGACTAAGAGGCTAGAATTATGAAAGTGGTTTAAAAATAAAAAGTATTTCCTGGATAAATCCATGCCTCAAATGAAGGAGAGGTCTTATCTTAGACAGCAGTCCAAGCTTTGTCTTCTGATGAGGCCAGACCTTTTTTCTTTCTTTCTTTTTTTTTTTTTTTGGGGGGTTTTAGCTATAGGCGCGTGTGCTCGTCAGACAGAGAGACAGAGAAAAAGAAAGGGGGAAACCACCCC